AACTCTTTTCACTGAATCATTACTGAGAATAGAGTTTTGAAAGAATGAGCCAAAACTTTGCTCAATGTTAGTATTTAGCCAAATCAAGTCTAACCGATAAAGTAGATGTTTCTTTAAGTGTACAGTAACGTTCTATGTTGAATAATGAGACTAGTTTGGTTATTCCCGTATTGCAGCTTCATTTCTACAGTACCCAAAAGTGAATCGGACGAGTTGAATTTAATCGACGATGGTAATATATTGCCGGATTTTCAAGGTGAAGTGAGGAAGTTGGTTATACGCACACGTGGAAGTAAACCAGCCAAGGTTGTTACTCTTACACTATCAACAGTATCCAATTGATGCAGACAAACACATTTAAATTTATACTTGTGTTAAAGTATGCGAAGATATGCAGAAAATGTAATCGATTACAGCAGCTTTTGTGCGTTTATGAAACAAATGAAGAATTCTTTCAGATGAAGTGTAGTCGGAGGTATTATTTGGAACTCCGTGGTGAAAATTTATATCAGTTCCAGAAAAGAACGTTCTTGATCAATTGTAAGGATGAACGTGATCAATATAAAAGGAAAAGTTGCAAACGAATGGTAATTGGTGAGTCTGCATGGCGAGTGATCAAATGCGATGAGATAGTCGGTCGTGCCTTTGAGTTACACCATCCTGCATCTGGTTCGTGGAGCACTTTCGTATTTTGGTCGAATTGCTGCTCGATCGCTTTTGAGCAACTGAATTTGTCATATGATTGTATTGGAAATCTCTAAAACGGACTCGTCTACATGAATTCAACAGTATTTACGCAATTGGTCTTTTCGGTGAATTGTTTTTAGAAAAGTTTGCAATATTCATCAGTTTTGAGCCTATCTAATGGTTCCTTTTGGTGTTTCAGGTCGAATCTATCGTTTCATCTGTAAATCGCAACTAGTCGCAAATGAATGGTACAAGAAGTTATTGGATGCCATGCAGAACGCATCGCAGAAAACACCTGTTAATTTGATATCTTTTGATTGAGTTCAGATTTAATGTGGAGGACATCAGTTCTGAGATTTTTGGTCAGCGCTACGTTTTATTAGGTTTCGTGGCAAATTCCATGCCGAATGCATTCGAAATAATTCCGGTAAATTGCGTTTCAGTAGAAACTGTTTGATGCACTCAGGTGACGTTTTTT